TGTATTTTCTTTGAAAAAATACCATTTCCAATCATGTGCAGATTTCCCCAACACTCTGGCTCTGACACACTCGATGGGAACTGTACTTTCTCAGCCGTGCCCTCCGCTGTGATCTCCACTCTTCTGCATGGAGCCTCTTCCACCCCACACCTCACAATCATCAGCCTACCCTTTCCTCTGGCCCCACAGGTACACACGGAGACCGGAGTGCGGCAACCCTGGCTGGCAGAGTAAAGCATGGCAGCTTACTTTATCTGAGTTCCTTCATAAGCAGGACAAAAAGCAGAAACAGAAAACAAAGCATCTCTCACTTGGAAGAGTGGGAACCAGAGCCAGGGAACTCGAGGACTTCCTAGCTCGAAGCCTAAGTCTTTAGAGGCACAGCATCTTAAATTGAGCCATGAAACCCTGAGCGTGGGGGTCATGCAAATGTGGCGAGGATGAAGTTTCTACTTGGCCATATGGTTAATGACGCCGGTGTGGTGTTTCTGGCAGTGTGCACCCGGGTTATGCCACCTGTCACTGCAGCCTGTTTCTGAACGTGTGCACCTAGCTGGCCCAACCCACTAAGCCAAGTGACTCAACCCTAGACATCTCAGCTCAGATCCTAGACTACGGTATGTGACAAACTGCTAGGTTTTTACTGGATGTAGTTTTTCTGCCCTAATATTAAGATAATGGTTTAACTACAGAAAACAAAGTGTTTTCCTACTGTCATTCCTTGGTGCTTGGCATGTATCAGATTAGTTTACCTCTGGGTTATATTATGCGGGATGTTGTCTTTTAAGTATCTTTACATTGCTCTTGTGTGAGAGCAGGTCAGTCAGTGGACATGTGAGAGTTGGTTTTCTCCTGCCACCCTGGGGATCCGCGGTTCAAACTCAGGCTGTCAGAGATGCTGTAAGTTTCTCTACTTACTGAGGCATTTTGACAGCCCATGCTAGAGAATTTTCTGCAGGGTCTGAAATGGTTCTAAACACTTCTGCCACGTTGCAGCACATATCTATTCAAAGTGGCATTAGCACCTCAGCCTTGACAATTATAAACATGAAAATACTGATTAACTCTGAAACGCTGGAGAAGCTCTAGGACCCACAGTATCAAATATTTAGCCAAAGTTCTTTCTTTTCTTTTTTTTTTTTTTTTTCGAGGTTGTCCTGGAACTCGCTCTGTGAACTAGGCTGGCCTCAGACTCACAGAGATCTGTCTGCCTCTGCCTGGCTAGCCAAGATTTCTTAGTATAAAGTACTCTATCTCTCAACAGCATACACACCTGCTTGTCTGTGACAGATGGTAAATTACACAGCAAAAGGTTTTTTGTTTTGTTTGTGTTGGGTGCATGTATATGCCCATGATTATGGAGGTTAAAGGTCAGCCGCAGGCGCACCTTCCCAGGAACACCTTTTTAAAAATGATTTTAAAGTATGTGTGCTGTGTCTGTGTGGGTAGGTCATGAGGGTGTTGGAGACCCCAGAGCTGCAGTTCTAGGCAGTTCTGAGCCACCTCAAGTGGGTGCTAGAGACCAAATTTGAGTCCTCTGTGAAAGCAGCAGGAGCAGCCAAAAGTGCCCTCTCCAACTCCCTCCCCTTTGTGAGACTGTATCTCACTGCAAGCCCAGCCTCACCAATGATGCAAGGCAGAGTAGCTTCAAGCCCCAGAGGTTTGCCCTTTTCTCCCCCCTAGCACTGGGCTGCATGGGCATATTATCATGCCCCACTTTCTACCTGGGTCCTGGATGTGGGTCAGGGCCTCACAGCTTTCACAAAGGCATTCCCTGAGCTATCTCTTCAATCTGGAGAACTGTTTTAAAAACATTTACCGGGGCTGGAGAGATGGTTCAGAGGTTAAGAGCACTGGCTGCTCTTCCAGAGGTCCCAAGTTCAATTCCCAGCACCCATATGGCAGCTCACAGCTGTCTGTAATTCCATTTCCAGGGGATCTGACATCTTCACAGCAATGCACACAAAATAAAAATAAGTACATAGTTAAAAAAAAAAACATTTACCATGATCAGTAAATGCCTGACCTTTTAAAACCTTTATTATTTATTTTTAGTTTAGATCTCATGTAACTCAGACTAGCCTCATACTCAATAGCTGAGGATAACTTTAAATTCCCGATTCAGAATGAGTTCCAGGACAACCAGAGCTGTTGCACAGAGAAACCCTGTCTTGAAAAACCAAAACACCAAACTTAGTGAACGAAAACTTCCTGATCCTCTCTGCCTCTGCTTCCCGAGTGCAGTGATTGTAGGTGCTGCTGATGCACCATACTAAATGTGTCATGTATGTACTGACTCACAGAGCTGGACAATGGGGGTCACATGGGAAGGGGCTGTTAGGGGGAACTGCTCTGCAGCTCTGCTCTAAGGACTGTACAGTAGGCTTTCCTGCTTCAGAGCAACTTTCAGAAGGGGTCTATTTGTCTGCAGGCCTGAGGGTTATCTGTACAGGATCTAAGCCTGGCCTTGGCCGCCATTCCAACCTACTCTGTCAGGGCACTTCCGCCAGGAGTAGGCATGTAGAGTGGTCCTCCATGAGGGAAGTGCATCACCACACACTGCTAGGGTAGCCTGACTCCAGCAGCAGTGCTTCTTCTGGAGTAATGAATAATGCAGTGCCACCAGACTCGGGGATAGAGATGCAAAGCTGCGAGACAGAGTCAGCACACACCTTCCTGGACTTCTTGTTCCTCACACACACTCTGGCCCCGCTGGCATACAGGTGGTCTTAGGAGCTCTGAAAAGCCAGCTCACTGGAGCTCTGGGCCAACAGCAAGGGGCCAGAGAACTGTAACAGATCTTACTTGTGGTGGCATGACTCTCAAGTTCGTCATCATGAACACTTGCGTGGATTCCTTTTTTCATTCATTCATAGCTTATAGCTGTTTCTGAACCAGGATGTTTGAGAATCTCTTCCCTATCCTTAGCGATGTCAAAGCTGCCAGTCTGGCGACTGGAGGACAGAGTCAGAGACCGGCTGGCTCTGGTTTCACTGTTCCCAGATGTATGAATGTCCAAGTGCACAAAGGTACCATGGAGGTAATAACAGAACTTACCCCTGCAGGGCTGAGAACAATCGACACCCTCCCACACGTACACATTCTATATACATCAAACCACCAGCCGTGAAAATACAGAGACGCTGGGCGTTGGTGGCGCACGCCTTTAATCCCAGCACTCGGGAGGTAGAGGCAGGCGAATCTCTGTGACTTTGAGGCTACCCTGGTCTATAGAGCTACACGGAGAAACCCTGTCTCGAAAAACAAAACAGAAATACAACAAAACAAACAAACAAACAAAGAAATACAGAGAGGGAATGCTGCATACAATCTCAGTGGTTCACTTCTGGGGGAGCTTCAGGTGAACAATCCTCAGCTTGGCTCCTGATGCTCAGCAAGACAACAGTCTCCCTGGTACCGACGACGACGACGACACTTTCTCTCCGAACTCCCTCGCCCCTTACTAGCCACGCTGACCCACAGGAGCATCCTGCGAATGAGCAGTGAGCACACCTGAGGTCAGGAGCCACTCCACTCTCCACCAGGGTAAAGGCTACCCAGTGTCTCGTGGTAAAGGACGCACCAAGCCCAGTGTCTCGTGGTAAAGGACGCACCAAGCCCAGTGTCTCATGGTAAAGGATGCACCAAGCCATCTTCTGAGGCTGCTCCTTGTCTGTACACAAGAGATCCTAAGAGGTAACACATACCCTGGTCCTCAGAACTGGCAGTGACCGCATGAGAAAGAGCTCTTGCTAGGGAGAACGTTCTTGCCTACACAGCTGCACAAGTCACTGAGTCACTTCAGCAATGTCACGGGGACAAAGCCATGCTGGAGAGTGTTCCAACTGTGCCAGTTTGTGATATAGAGGACTGCTTCCTCAGTGGCGAGTTCCTCGCCTGTAAAACAAGGTGCTGGTTTCCACCGAACAATGTCTTGGTGGGGATGACGTTTGTGGGGCGTAGGGCATGAGGCCCGTGCAGTGTTTGGTACAAAGTCAATCCTCAGAGCAGAGCTGACTCTTTGTCCTGACACTTGGTGAGGACCCAAGGTCCACAGCAGCACATGGCTCACTCCGACTTGGCTCAGTTTATCCTTCTTGGCCACAAGGTGCCATTTTCCAGGTCTGTCTGACATTTTTTCCGAATTGTACATGACAACCAAGAAAAGCCAAAAAATTTCAGACATTCAAACAGCCCAGAGAATACAAACATTTGAGCAAACCAGCCATGCTGACACCTCAAGGAAACTCCAGAGATGGGGCACAGATGAGTCGAGGGGGCTGGCTCAATGAGCACAGGATGTCATATTCCAGCAAGTCACAAGATGCCTGAAGAACAGTGGTGTTTCTAGCCCAGTCCACTCTGGTTTCGGGAACAGCAGCAATTTCTCAGAAACCTCACCAGCAGAGGCAGCTTTCCAAGAGTGAGAGCTTTGCTTTGTACCAACTGCTTAAGGTCACTTTTGCTGGGAAGTAAACAGATTTCAAACAGGACAAAGTGGCAATCTGGGGTGCTGAGAGTGGCAGCTGGGAAGGTAGCCAGAGACCTAGCACAGGCTTGCCAGGCAGCGGATGACTTCCATTCCTAACTATCCAGCCCAGGAGGAAGTGGGTATTTGTCTGTGTATGTTCTGACCCAACATTTATCCGATGCCTGCTGTGTGGTGGGCACCAAGCCAAGGGCTGGCTTCTTACAAACTCTGTGTAATGCGGAAAGTCCTAGAAGCCAGCACCACACTTTTCAGATGAGACAGGAGCAAAGTATGACTAACACTGGAGTTTCTTAGCCACCACTAGATTAAGCTGCCTTGTCTGGCTCAAGAAAGGTCTGCACAGGAGCTGACGGCTACAAGGGGACAGACTCCTTAGGCATGCACACATGTACTTCCCCATGACACTGCGTCAACCCATGAATGGGATGGGCTTTAAAGACAGATCCAGGATTTGACATCATCTTTTGTCTTGTAGTTCAGAAGTCTTCAAAAAATGCCACAACAGGGATACAAATTTTCAACATACTTTATTGACTCAGGAGCCAAACATGGCAGCATTTGGTCAGTTATGAAGGCACCTCATTGAAAAATATATCACAGTGTTGTTGGGTGATCCCAGTCACAGGATTTGAGGACGAGAAGGACAATCTTTGGAAGATTTAGCTTAAGACATTTTAAGTTTTGTTTCCCCCTTCACTGTTAAGGACTGAACCCAGGGTCTTATAACTAGGCACACACACGCCACTGAACTACACTCCCTTGTTCACTGAAAGGGTCCCATGGATGAACAAAGGCAAAGTTATAAGGACTTGTGTGCTGGGTGGCTGCTGAAGGCTTTGCTGCTACCACAGGGGACTGTAAGTGACAGGATATGTGGGATGTCTCCCCTTGCTCCCCACAATTCCAGTAAAAATGATTTGCTGAACCATCCCCCCATGAGATCACATCCCTACCCCTTCCATACACGCAGATGCACAGGGAGCCACCGGCAGCACCCCCACATGATACATAGGCCCAGTTGACGGCCGCATTCTTGGTCTGGTAATCCATGAGCTTCTTACAAAGAAGCTGAGGTCTCTCACAGCATTAGCTTTGTGGTCCAGAGTAAATGAAAGCTTGATTGCTTAAAAAATAATACCGTAGCTCCTCATTTGCGCCGATGCCCTCCAATCACAGGTTGTTTTTTAAAAAATTAATCTTTCCCCTCGCTTACACTTTACAAATTCCCATCTATGTGCAAAAAAACAAAAAACCCCCAAAACAAAAACCTTTCTAATTACAACACTGCCACTGTTCCAAATACTTGTCTTGAGCCCCTTACCACCTCCCTCACCATCCTTCCTTCCCGTGACCACCCTTTTCCCTTCTGCCCAGCACCTAAGAGCAGGGATCACGTGGCGGGGAGATGAGCAGGGTGCAGTCTCGCCTGGCCTTCTTTTACTAGGCTGAAATAGAGAGGAAACAAGAAAGAACAAAATGGGTTTTAACAAAACCAAGTAAATATCAGGGAAGGCTGGCATGCAACCAAACGCATTAAACACTGGACATTTCTCTGCCAGGTGAAAGCTCTCATGCCCGGTGAGGTTACGACTCTGCAATCAAACAAAGCAAAAATACAATCCCCACCACCACCAAACAGCTTCTGTACCCCTATGGTTTTCCAGCTCTTACCTGAAGCTCAAATGTTACAGGTATTTGGTGTATGTGCACACATGAATGCGTGTGTGTGTGTGTGTGTGTGTGTGTGTGTGTGTGTGTGTGTATGTATGTGTGTATACACATACATACATACATACATACATACATACATACATACATACAGGTGGCAGATGTCTACATTCAATTAGCAACCACTCAGGGGCCTGTACTTAGAAACAAGTGCCTCTAGCTACTCTCAGTCGGGGAAAGTCAACTGTCAGACCAATGGAGTTGCCCTCATTCTGAGAAAGACCTCATATTCTTGCAGGCCCAGCTGGTAGTTTTGGTTTCACTCCTCTCCCTTGCCCATTCCCAGCAGTCATGTGCTTTCCAGAAACACACAGAGCCAGACTGGGTTTCTGTTAAGAGCAGACACAGTTAATTTAAAGCCAAGGAAACAAGGCAAGGCAGTGGCAGCAGACACTTAGAGGTTAAAAGGGAAACAAGATAGCCACATACCCATGGAGTTTCCATGTGGAGAGAGGACAAGCCTTCCGACAGACAGTAGGAGAACTCAGGCCAGATGGGGACCGAGGACATTAGAGCCAGCAGGTTACACCAAGGCAAGCACCATTATTTACTGGTCATGTCACTAACTTTTTAATGACTGTTCCAGAGGCTGAAGGCTTTGAGGTCTTGTCACAGCAGCCTATTATCCTATCTGCCACAAATCATCCAGGGACTAAAAGGCACAGCACAGACCACATGACATTTGTAATAATGGGCGCTAAGGCTACAAATAAAAGCTTGTTTTGGTCACAGGTGGTCTTGTTTTTAGGTGATCTTTTCTTGGGGAGTCTGTGGCTAACCATCATGGAATATGGGGTACAGGGTTACATTTGAAAGGGACACACACATTTGGTTTGGGTTTTACATATCGTGTTTGCCTTTCATCCTAGCACTTGGGAGGCAGAGGCAGCAGGATCTCTGTGAGTTTGAGACCAGCCTGGTCTACAAGAGCTAGTTCCAGGACAGCCTCCAATGTCACAGAGAAACCCTGCCTTGAAACAGGTCCCCCTCCAAAAAAAAAAAAAAAAAAAAAGATTATCTCCTAATCACTGGTTCATCCCTACAAACATGCAAACAAAAACAAACCTAACTGGATCTGTATCTGGGAAAGTAGATTTGGCTGCTCTTAGTTACCTGGCCCTAATGTTCAAAGACAATCTGAATCCCAAAGGACCTTCTACCTGGCTTAATTCTTGGATGACAACTCATTTTGTTTAGACGGAAATCCCAAGTGGTCTCAACTTTACAGCATTGTGATATGGATCACAAAAAAATACTCCAACAGTGCCTGCTCTTCATGCAGATGTCTTATCCTAATAACTGCTGGAATCCCAGGTTTGTCTTTAAAATTCCATCTAAGGGGAGAAAATTAGTTATCTTTGTGCATTCACTGACTTGTGGCTTTTGTTTCCTATCAAGGATGTGTATCAGGAGCTGTGACACTGACTGACTTCATGTGACTTTAGACTTGGAACCAGCTGTTTATTACGGGTGAGCATTATGAGGCTTTGCACCTGGGGTGCCTGGCAAATATATACTCACATTTCATTTTGGTCAAAAAATAGAATTAGGAGTGTGGCTAATTTGTGTGTTTATGTGTTGGGGGAATTACATCATAGGAAGGGGGATTATAGGGCACGAGGGGGAACAAAAATCTACTATAACACACCTTGCTTAAAAAAAAAAAGCTATGATGAAGTGGGCATAGTGGGCCTTTAATCCCAGCACTTAGGAGACAGAGACTGGCAGAGCTTGGAGTTTTCTGCCAGTTTGGCTGGTATAATGATTTCCAGGACAGTGGAGATATATAGACCATCTCAAAAACAAACAAACAAAAACAACAACAAACTAACAAAAAACACCCCACAATGATATCTAATACCTTGTGTGCTAATTTTTAAAGATGATAAAAAGAAAAGTATGGGTAAGAAAAGTAAACAGCTGGTAAAACAACATAGCCCAAGATACAGAATGTAAGAGAGTGAGCACACGCTCACACCAAACACATACAGATGAGCGCTGCACATACATGAGATACATCCAATAAGTGCTTTTTAATCAGTACATTAGAAGATACCCTCACTGCCTGAGGGAGGAAGTGTCCCTGCCTCCCTTGCCGTGCCCACCCATTCCTTTAACAGGGACAGAAAGGAGAGAGAAATCCCTTTTAGAACCCAACATTAGATAAACATAACCAAGTCTTTACATGTAGCTTTGGAGAAGGCCGCTAGGATGCTCGCAAATACGACGTCAGGGGTCTGGCATGCATCGATGGCAGAATGGATCCCCCGTTTCCTGTAGTACTCCACAAGCGGGGTGGTCTGCGTGTGGTAGGCCTCCAGGCGGATCTTCAAGGCCTTCTCATTGTCATCTGATCTGCGGATCAGGGGCTCTCCGGTGACCTGAGAATGAAAAGGAAGGAACGGTGGGATTGTCATGAGAGCTGTCCACTCTGCCGGGATGCTGGCCGACCCCACAGCCTGTTCAAGCAGGAAGCCCCAGAAGCAGGCTGGGGGTCCAGAAATAGAGATGCTTTTTGTCTATTGTTCTGTGTTCAGGCTACTCAACTCCTAACACAAGCCCTTCTACAGTGGGAAGGAGAGAGAGGCCCCAGAGACTGGGAAAGTACATCCCAATAAGCTGCATTAGCAACTGCAGTCTTAGCTGCTTAAATATTTAGCATAATTAGTGAGCATCACCCACTAACATCGTAAAAGCAGCAAGTGAAGTGAGAAAGGACTCAACTTTCTGAACCGTGGTCTGTATTTATAGACCCTGGACGACCTGTACTTGTCTCACATGACAAGGCAATTTGCCCCTGTCGCCTGTATGTTCTACAAAGACCATGTAGACTCTGTAACCATGGATGAGACCCCAGGGCAGCAATCACTGGGTACCCCAAGAGCAGGGCATTCTGGAGCAGTGGTCAGCAAAATTCTCTTCAGTGCCACCTCCTGACAACATTCTCCTGACAGGACAACTGCTTAACTGGCCATGGTGCAAGGAAGGGGCTGCTGTGACAGAGGATAAACATAGAGCCACCTGGAGACACTGTCCAGATCTGTCACCAGCCATCTCATTAACAAGACAATGACATATTTCTCTGGTTAAGTGATAGAAGGAGGAAGGAAAAAACAAGCAAGCATACATCATCTTTCATGGGCTCCTTTGGAGGGTTGAACTCCTCATGGTAAGACCGGCCACTATTGGGGTGAATCAACCTGCAAGACAGCAAATGATTGTGAGTCAGATTGCCTGGAAATAGCTCTGTACTCCAGGGGACTCTGGGATGACAAGCAGAGGCAGAGAAGCAGAATGGAAGACTTGAATCAGCAGAGAACCCAGCTAGCACCTCACACCTAGGAAAATAACTGGCTTTTTAGCAGAGGCCCAGCTATTGTTACCTCTTGTTTAGGAAAATAACTATGTCAATTACCCTGCCTGTGGCAGAGGGTGTTTCCTGCTTTGCCCAAGTATAAAGAAAGCTGCTGGCAGACTGCCTAGTCCAGGCCTTAGGAGGGAGGACGCTCATGTTCAGCACACAGCCATCCACTCTATTCAAACATGTTTTCTAAAGAAGTTCCCAGCTGATATCAGATCTTATGTTGAATTCAGCTGGTTACAAAGTGATGGGTCACAATCTCTGCTACAAGCAGCACTTAGCAGCAAACACGACAAGATTTGTACAAAGTGTTGGGGAACAGAAGACAGAAATTAACTCTGGCTGTCTTCTGCTTTTTGTTTTTTTTTAAAAGATAGGTCTTGGCATGTAGCCAACAATGGATTTGACCTTAAGCTACTCTGAACCACCCCCAAATGTCTTAGATCACAAGCATGTGTCTGCTTGTACTGTTTTCTAACCTAATTTGGTTATAAAGCAAACACATAAAAACACATTATGGATATGCAGACGATGATGCACACCTCTGTGACCACACGGATAAATGAGAGCATAAGCAATGTCCAAGCCACTAGGAGAAAAGACATATTAAGCCAATCATGGAGATGGACACTACAGTATGTGTTCATGGTCTCAGCTACCGGGAAGCTAAGGCGGAGGAACTGGTTACTTAGGCCCAGGATTTTGAGAACAGCTTAGGCACAGCCAGACTTTGTCTTAAAACAAAGAAGCTGGGTGTGGTGGCTCATGCCTGTAATTCCAGAATTTAAGGAAGCCGAGGTAAGAAGATTCCCATAATTCAAGGCTAGCCTGGGCTACATACTTGAGATCCTGTCTCAAAAAACAAAAACAAATGAACAAAACAAAGTAAAAGAAAATTATTAGCACTTTCCACCAAGCTTGATGACCTGAGTTCAATCCTTGGGACCCACATGGTAGAGAGAACTGACTCGTTTGGTCTCTGCCTATGAGCTGTAGCATGCATGTACATACCCCAAGATTCACCATAAAAAATAGAATGTATACAGGGCAGGAGAGATGGGTCAGCAGTTAGGAGTGATTTCTGCTCTTGTAGAAGACTTGAGCTTACAGGGTACCCACACAGGGCAGCTCACAACCACCTGTGACTCCAGCTCCTGGAAATCAGACACCTTCTCATGTGTGGCCACCTGCACTCATGTGTACATACCCACACATTGACACATTATTAAAAAAAAATCAAACAGCAGGGCAGTGATGGCACATGCCTTTAGTCACAGCACTTGGGAGGCAAAGGCAGAAGGATCTCTGAGTCTGAGATCAGCCTGATCTATAGGGCAAGTTCCAGGACAGCCAGGGCTACACAGAGAAGCCCTATCTGGAAAAATAACAAAACAATGAACTCAAGAGCAAACAGTGTTTATTTGGCATTGTGAACGTGGTTGGTGGCTGTATCTGTGCGGAACCCTACTAGACAACAAGCCTGTGTTCCTGATGGGGAATGGCCACATAACGAGGAAGCTGGAAACTCAAGACAGGGGGCAGGCTACACTCTGCACAGCGGCCAGTGCTGGCTTGAGTTGTGTACTTTCTTTTTGTTGTTGGGTGGGTGTTTTGTTTGGCTTTTGAGACAAGGTCTCTCTGGCTGTCCTATAACTTGCTATGTAGACCAGGCTAGCCTTGAACTCAGGGTAATCCACCAACCTCCACCTCCTGAGAGCAGGGATTAAAGGTGTACAGCGCCACCACTCCTGGCTACTAGTACTTTCTTTATTTCCCCTCTCTATTCAACTGACAGCTTGTCTCCTGTGAAAGTCTGTCCAATCAGAGCTTCTAGCTTCTGACCAGCTTTTGGCTTTTGGTGTGCCTGTTCCTTCTGCGAGGGCAATGGCTCTTCTGGGCCTTACCATTGCTCAGAGGTTGGGGAAATCATATTTTGCCTATCATATGGGAGATTCTATTTATACTATTGAAGTCCTATCCTACTGAAGACAAGACAACCCATTTACACTATATAAGGTGGTATAGTACTAACAACAAGGTAACAGAAAATCAGTTATAGTGAAGAATGAGTAGGCTTGTGACAGCAACTACTTATGGAGAAGTTGTGTCCTCCATTATTTGAGTCCTGAAAAACTTTCTCTGGTATATCCATTCAGAAACAGCATCCAGCCGGGCGGTGGTGGCACATGCCTTTAATCCCAGCACTCTGGAGGCAGAGACAGGCAGATCTCTGTGAGTTCGAGGCCAGGCTGGACCGACAGCCTCCAAAACAATACAGAGAAACCCTGTCTCATAAAAACAAACAAAAAAAAAAGAAACAGCATCCAGTAGGAGATCCACAGAGAGGGAGAACACTGGCTACTGGCTACAGCCTCAGCACCTCTGGAAAGGACTAAGTTTTAAAAAAAAAAGACTACCAGCATTTCTTTATCTTCTGGAGAACAGGGGGCATCTAACATAACAGCAAGAAATACAACTCTTTTCTCTATATCCCTAGGCTGTCACTTAAAAACACCCAGATTCCCCCAGCCCTCTGATTACACACGTTATTCTATTACCATTCAAAAACACTGTTTTTAAGAACACGGGGCATATACCCCTGAAGAAAACTAAAGGCAAATGAAAGAAAGCCTGATCCCTAAGTTCTCAAGACAGGAGCCCCTGGGCCTGGTGGGCAGTGATTAGGGCTAGGCTTCTACATCACTGCTACCTGTAGCAGGACACTTTGGAGCAGTGGTTCTCAACCCTCCTAACGCTGTGACCCTTTAATACAGTTCTTCATGCTGTGGTGACCCTCAACCATAAAACTTTTTTTGTTGTTACTTCATAATTTTGCTACTGTTATGAATTGTAATCCGTTTTCTCTTGGTCTTAGGCAAACAGGGTTGTTGGACCTGAGACCCACAGGTTGACAACTGCTGCTTTAGACCCTTGTTTTTTCATCCACAAAAGGGAGACAGATGCTACTGGACTCAGGGAAGTAACACCAGGGAGCCAATCGGTAAGATAATTAGCATACCAGAGTGCCAACAGGAAACACGACAAAAAACTCAGACCTTTATGAACAAATACTCAAGAAACAAAATAAGTGACAGTCATTAGAACTGAGGTCACAGCTAGTTCAAGACTGCTATGGTAGCCGGGCGTTGGTGGCGCACGCCTTTAATCCCAGCACTCGGGAGGCAGAGGCAGGCGGATCTCTGTGAGTTCGAGGCCAGCCTGGTCTACAGAGTGAGTTCAGGGACAGCCTCCAAAGCCACAGAGAAACCCTGTCTCGAAAAACCAAAAAAAAAAAAAAAAAAAAAAAAAGACTGCTATGGTGAGATCCTTAAGTTCCCAGTTCCTGCCATACCCTCTTCCATCCATCAGGGAGGCAGAAAGCAAGTTTCAGGTACTAGTCCTACCACACACCTGCTGAGTGAACCTGGACAAACTCCTCACTCACCGGCATACCCTGTGAGGCATAGGGTCTTCTAAGGAGGAGGAGCCACACTAAACTAAAGTTTCTAAATGGATAGGTCCTCCCTCTACTGTCACCCTGCAGCCTGTTCTTAGATTCTCACCCTGCTCCCTAGCCAGTCAGAAGTCTCTGTCACTTCATGTGAATATGAGCAGGCTCCCAGACGGGGCCTTACCTACCACTGCCCCCAGTTTACAGTTAGCACCAAGGCAATGTTTTTAGGATGCAGTTATTGCACCAATACCCAGTGGCTCCAGATCACGTGATGACTCCTAAACTCTGTCAAGCCCACTCTTCTCGACGCTGCAGATCTCCCCGAACCCATCCTTTCTTCCCAACTTCATTCATTTTGCCCCTGCAGCTTCCAAAGCATAGCTCCTACTGTGGGTCAACTAGTCTACCACAGACCCCAGCCTGAGCCCATCTCCTAAGCAACACTCATTCCTGCTTCCCCGCCCTTCTGGGAAAGTGCCGCTGAAACCACCCTCATTCAACTCCACATTGATGGCATACCTCCCCTAGACAGCCTTTTCACCTATCCCCGGGCTCTTTTCCTACAGCACTGAGAATCACCCAAATTTCAGACATGACTCTTCGACATCAAAATAGATATCACTGTACTATTCTCCTAGAGATTGTCATGGCCTTCAGCCCTGGGGTGTGGTTTGATGTAGGAGCAGGTACCCAGGATGCTGACCCATCAAGTTAAAGACCTCCAGTGTCACTGATCCTGTTACTGCCTGCTTTGTACCTCAAGGATACTAAGCCTAGGGATGCTCCTTACTGTCAACCCCTACTGCTTCTTGGTCTACATCAATTTTGTCTCCTTCATGCCCAAAGGGACTGTAAAGAAACACAAGTCTGTTGTGGAGAAGCCTATGAATTAGCTGGAAACATAAAAAAGGTAAATTTGAAAAGAAAATTAATGTAAAGTAGGTTTAAATGTACCCTTCAGAGCCTTACAGGATACCACATCTCACACCGCTATCTATTCATTTTCTTCCTAATTAAATATAAAATTTACATACCCTTTTAACAGTGGCAGCATCAACTAGGAGAAACACAATTGCATACCAAGAAGGGACTAACAAAGAATGATTTATGGAATACTGTGCAGTACCACACAACAGTCCAAACTAATGATCACGAATGTCCAATCTTCCAGAGGGTCATGAAAATGGCAAAGACATAAACAGCTACATTCCTTACAAGCAATGCAGTATACCAGGTTCCTTTACCAGCCTCCAAGGGCACTCAGCCTGTTATTAACGGGCTGACACAAGGGACTTGTACAATTTGGGAGTAGTGTTCATGCCTTTGTTCTCATGAGGTCCCCAATCTAGGCTCTCAACAGGTATGCAGGGTAACTTTGAAGAGCCCCAGGGTCCACATTGATCAGGTCATCAAGAATATCTGTGCTTGGCTGCAGAGTAAGAAACATATGATTGAGGCCCAGGACAGGGCCAAGTTCAAGTTCCCAGGCCACCAAAAGATCTACATCTCAAAGTGGGCCTTACCAAATTTAAATCAAATGATAGCTGAGAAGCAGCCCACCTCTGATGATTGTACCCCGGACAAGCGGCAGGCCCTGAACTCATGAGAGCTTCAACTGTGCTACAGCATGCTCTAATGATGCTCATCAGTAAGTCTCCTCCTCCCTCCAGACACAATAAGGAAGATTACACGGGTTCTCACAGTGGTGCTGGCAGATAGGAAGCAGATACAGAAAAACAGAGAAGAGAGAAAACACAGCCCAAATAAGTGAGGATTTCTTATAAAATTGTTTACTTGACGCTATTTTGGAGAAATAAATAAGAAAAACACGCTGTACTATGAACCAAATTTCTTTGATTAAAAACAAAGGGAGGGGGCACATGAAGAGATGGCCCAGTGGTTAAGAGACTAGGATGCTCTTGCAAAGGACCCCGGCGCATTCCCAGCATCCACAAAGCAGCTCACAACTGTCTTAACTCCAGTCAGGGGAATTTGATGCCCTCTTCTGACCTCCATTGGCACCAAGCAAGCAAGCAATGCATACACTGAAAAAACAAAGCAAAACAAAACAGGCAGGGGTGGGGGGAAGGGTGGTGGTGTTGTGCACCTTTAATTCCAGCACGTGGGAGGCAGAGGCAGGTGGATCTCTGTGAGTTCGAGGCCAGCCTGGTCTACAAAGTGAGTTCCAGGACAGCATCCAAAGCCACAGAGAAACCCTGTCTCGAAAAACCAAAAAAAAAAAAAAACCAAAAAAACAATACATAACAAACAAAATGCAAAGAAAAAAGGAGAGGAGGGCTGAAGAAGTGACTCAGTGGTTAAGAGCACTGGTTGCTCCTCAAGAGGATCTGAGTTCGATTCCCAGCAACCACATGGTGGCTTACAACCATCTGTAACTCCAGAGGTCAGAGAAGACAGGAGCAAAATAGTATTTTCTGGGCACAGTAAGAACCACTGTATTCCTGAATTCACAGCACAAGACCAGTACAAGAGTAACTAGTCAACATTCTAGCATGAAACCAGAGGGACCCATGAAACCCCTACTCCTAACTGAGGAGCTATAAGTCAGTGTTCTTTAAGGGTACGGCCCCTGGTAGGCTGATTCCGCTCCAGTAGATGATCCCATATCCATAAATAATATGAGCAGCACAAATTGGACTTGAAGGGCATAATTAAAAGGGGAAGAAAGTTTATAAGGCAAGATGGGGGATCTGGGAGGAATGTGATTATCATATATAATGTATTGTATGAAATTCACAAAGAATGCATTAAAAACATAACACCAAACAATAATAAAAACAAAAAGCAACATGCCTAGACAGAGACGCTGTCTGACTCTGAATCCTTTGCTCTTGTCTCCATGTCCCCACCCATGTTACCACATCAGTGGACATCAATATACAAGATCAAAATATCTCGAAATGGCACCAAGCATCTGCCCTACAGAGCTCTGGGGAAGCATGAGGGCTGGCTCTTCGGGGACACCTACCTTCCAGTGATCCTCCGGATCAGCAGGGAGTCTGGAATGCTGAACTCAATCACCGAATCAAGCTTCTCTTTCCTCTTGTCCATGAGGTCATCAAGCTGCAAAAGATCGTGGGACCCACCTAAGCTCGATCAGCCTTCTGCTCGACAAGCTCGATCGTCTCCTTCAAAGTAGTTCATAAAGAAGGCCAGCACTTGCCTTCATGCAACAGTGACAAACACTACCTACCATTTCAGCCTGCCTCACAGTCCGTGGGAAGCCATCTAGAAGAAAGCCATTTTTGCATGAAGGACTCTCCAAATTCTTCTCAATGAGCTCCACAACCATTTCATCACTCACCTACAAGAAAAGAGCCCTGGGTTCAAGTATAAGCTCCAAGGTTGCCTGGTGTCAGTATGTCTGAGCCTGCTCTGAAATACTATGGAAAGTATGTGTTAGAGCAAAGGATGCGCCTTACAGAGGCAGAGGGACGGAGTGAGCAGGCAAGGTGGCTAAGCAGGTAAAAGTGTGCTCTGCTCATGTCTGATTCCCTAAAGCTCAGTGCTGAGCCCAAGCAAAGGTAAAAGGTGCAAAGTGGTGGCCCCAAGCACGTACCATGGATGTGTGCCCTCCCTCCCCATCATACACACAGAGTAAAATACTTAAGTTTACAAATATAGTTTTGGAGATCAGGCCTCCAATACATGGACTTCAAGGGGGGTTCATCCTTTTGTTTATGTGGAGTCAAGCTGACTTGCTGTTTAGAAACCAACCTTGGACTGTAACTGAGCTTAGACAGTATTTCCTTCTTTAGCTGGTTTCTCTTAGAGATTTATCACAGTGGTGCAAAGCTGAACAGTACAGACTCCATCTGTAACACTCACTTCTATAATTGTCCAGTGCCCAGACATGTCCCTCCCCTTGAAACCCTAATATGTTCCAATAAATCGGTTAAGGGAAGAGGGATCCACAGCCCATTGCCCCAGCAAGACAGCTTCATGTCTTAGGCCCTATGGGCCTCTTCTGCCAGTACCTGTTTAACCACCACGTAAGAGCTTATCAGCAATAAGCTGCTCTCAAGATGATGAGGGTCCATGGCAGACATCACCCGAGAACTAGTTTGACTAGAAATGTAGGGATGTACCAATTATCCTTGATTCACAAGTTCACTAGACTAACAATATCACAATTGATATGTTGGCTTGATTATTTATCTGGGCTATCTAAGACATGAAAAAGAATTGCACTGAATTGGCAATATTGAATTAGAAACAAGGAACCTAAAACCACCACAATATAGTCTAAGTCTCTCCAAAAAGATTCCACCAAATATCTCTCCCAGCATTAAAATATCTTTTCTTTAAGAGAGAAAAGTTCCCACCTACATTATAGTAAAGGCTGTCTATCTTAGCAGCTAAAGCTTTTATCTTCAGAACCAGTTATGAACTTAGGGACAAAGTATAAACTCTGCAACTGATCGAAGGCTTGGAGATAAACAATCTCATTGCCACATCCCAATTTTCTCTCACACAGAATTTTCTGCCAAAACCCAAAGTCCAAAACATTTATCTTTCTGGTTTGATTCATGGCCTCACTGACATAAAGGGAAAGCTAGAGAGGACTGTATGGACAGACAGGTGGTGGTACCACCCAATACTGCTCTAGTATCTCCATGAGCCTAACATGAGCTAACTGTGGGAAAAAACCAAGTTCAGATTTCAGCCAAGCAACAGATACAGACACAGGGACCAGAGAAATCACCTGTGTTTGTCCATGCCTACAATCTCAACACTCGGGAGGTTAGCCTGGGACACCCGTAAGTGCCAGGTCAACCAGGTAAACATGGCAAATCTTGCTTCAAAAACCAAACAGAGGTGAGGAGATGGCTCAGTGGGGAGCAGCGCTTGCCACCCAAGCCTGACAACCTGAGTTAGAACTCAGGATCCCATGGTGGAAGAAGAAAGAACTGATTTCCAAAAGTTGTCTTCTGACCTCCCCACTGACAGAGTATAATTTAGAAAATTAAAAACAAGAACAAAACAAGGGATGAGAGGAACTGCAATGTGGCTCAGGGGTCCAGCACTTGCCTACTGTGTTCAAGTACAAACAACTTCTGAAAGTATTAGCAGAAGTCAAGCTCTAGAATAAATACTAGAAGCAAGAAAGATCTGGCCCTAACCAAATTCACTGTATTGTCAAATACAGTGGCTCATTACATAGGATTACTTTTCCATAACTATCAAGTAACTCCCTTGTTAGAAATACAGAGGACTGGAGAGATGGCTCAGCAGTTAAAAGCTAGGCTCACAACCAAAAACATAAGAAATACAGAGCAGCGAGCCACAAAAGAGGTTTAAAACATTTCTGTGATCTCCCAAATCTCTTTTGCATACATCCTAGAGTCTTGTCCCAGGAATAGCACTTTCATTTTGTAATATTTAATTTGGTGAACTACAAAAAGTATTATAAAGCATCTTCAAGAATAATGTGAACACATGGGAAGGGCTGGAGGAAAGAAAGGAAATGGGGAGTGATATAATTATATATAGATACACATGTGTGTGAGTACATATGTATTGTGTGTTTCTGTGGTTTGAGAGGTCTCACTGTATAGCCCTGGCTGATCTGAAACTCTAATTCAGAGACCTGCCTGCTTGCTTCTCAGTGATGGGATTAAGGTTTGTGTGTCTGGCTGATGCATGTGCAAACACACACACATCCCGAAATTTAATTATTTTTATATTTATGCATGTTTTGTTTATGTATGTTTGTGTACCATGTGCATGCCTGGTGCCTGCTGAGGCCAGAAGAGGGTGTTGGATCTCAGTAACTGGAGTTATAGATAGTTGTGAGCTACTATGTGGGTGTTGGTAATCAAATCCAGGTCCACTGAAAGAGCAGTAAGTGCTCTTAACTGCTGAGCCATCTCTCCAGTCCTTATAATTCGACTTTAATTAAAAATAATAAGAGAGAAAAAAGAATACTGTAACCAGGGCTAGCAAGATGGCTTTATGAGAAAAGTGCCTGCCCACATCACAAAGTAATAAAATTATATAAACACATGTGAAGAAACAATAATAATATATTCAGAATAAACCAAATAATGTGCTCTGCTCAAAGTTCCTATTACCTGCCAGTCTGTTAGAAACATCTCCACAAAGGACTGCCTCAGAAGATTTTCTATGATGGTGGAAATGGTCTGTGTTTGCACTGGCTAGCAAAGGCTTCAAGTGTGTCTACGATGAATAAGGAAGTAAATGTTTAATGACATCAAAACCAAGTAGCCACACGCAGCTGGGGCCACCATTCTGGACACAGCAACACTCATGGGTATGATCAAACCTACCAGTTTTCCAGCATCCATCGTCGCCTTCAGCTTTTTTCCCAGCTCAGAACCTGAAGCTACCATGGCTCTCAGCATGTCCCCAGTGGCCAAATGGCAGACACAGAAGTTTTCAGCCAATCTGGGTGCCTGTGGAGCCAAAAACAAAAACCAAGAAAGAGTTAACACTGTAGGCCCTGGGAATGAACCTGGCCCTTACTGGCTATGTGAGCTTAGCCAAATGCCTACTTCTTCATTTGTAACTGGAATGCATCTTACCTTACATTCTAATGTAAAGCATTATAGGGTTATTGTAAGAATTGTATGATTACATGATATTGCATGTAAAGTACTTGGAATACACTTACCACTCAGGAAGCTATTCTAACTATACACTGACACACAAGCTCACATTCCCTGTTGCAATAATTCACATAGCTGCTGGAACACTTAGATGAGTTCATTTTATAAAGCAGACAGACCAAGGCCTGGCATACAATGTGCTGAGTATCTACCACAGGGTAAAAGTGGTATGCTGTGCCACTAGGCCTGGCAGCTGGGGTAGGCAAGGCAGACCTGCTGCAGTATCTTGGCTAAACTGTTCACTCACAGACTCAGAGCGGTCTCCACATCTGTTTAACATGAAGAACACCATCCATCTGAAAGTGTCTGTGATACATAATGACACATGCAGGCAGAGCATTTCTGCAGTGGTCACCTGGAGGTCAGTTCTAGGAGTGTTCTGGTTGGTTTTGTGACAGGGTTTTACTATGTAGCTCAGGCTAGCCTCGTGATCGACATCCCCAGACTCCTGAGGGGCTGGGATTACAGACAGGTGTCTGCCCCCACTGGCTCAACTTTTGGCTTAAGTTAACCCCCAGTACCTCAATCCTTAATATATGGCTTGAGGAGCTACTTCTCCTTTTTTTTTTTTTTTTTTTTTTTTTTTGGTTTTTCGAGACAGGGTTTCTCTGTGGCTTTGGAGGCTGTCCTGGAACTAGCTCTTGTAGACCAGGCTGGCCTCGAACTCACAGAGATCCACCTGCCTCTGCCTCCTGAGTGCTGGGATTAAAGGCGGCTACTTCTCCTTTCTAGGCTTGAAATTTCTAAGTGAAACGGAGAGGGCAATGATACCGTCTCACCGAGCCCATAAGGACTCTACACAGGACTGGCGCAGGTAAAGTGCAGCCAGTAGACCCAGTGAGCACTAGCTATTACAGCAACCTCTGCCCAGCTCTGTTTATTCAGACGGGAAGGAAATATCCACTCATGCCTCTTCCATGAACCTGAAGCCAAGGAAACGGAGGAATAGGAGACACAGACCCCAAGCTCACAGATTGTGCTGGGATAGACATAACTCAGCACACACAAGGTTCCCTATCACCACACACATTTAGCTTTTCCCACAACGACATCAAACAAATGTGCACCTCAGAGTCTGGTAGACTTTAAATGGAAAAAGGTTCAGATACTCCAGTATTGGTTCTATATTCATAGATGCTCAGCTTTCTGTTGAGTTGTTTTAGAAGATAAGTAACTGGGATCCCTGTTTAAACTAATTCATTGGGTGTGCTCTTGGGCACAAAACAAAAATCGATGAGGGCTTAATGCAGGAAATTCTGGTTTGTGATTCACAGACTGCCTCCACAGAGGTGAAGGAATCACATCATAGGGAGGTGGGACCCAGTGAGACAGTGTTGCGGACTGGACACCGGGAAAATGATGGTCAGCAGCCGATGGCAATGGAAAGCCGGCTGCTGCACTGTGGACACACCCCAGGGAACAGAGCTCCCCACCAATCTACTCCTCATTTAGTACAGTTAACTTGAGTGGACACATCATAGAAGCTGGGTCAAAACTCCTGAGAAAAGCTGCGCTGGGAACTCAAGTGTTCAACTATTACTATTAGCCTGCAATGGTGGGCTGCTCACACTCCTTCCCAGGTGACTGACTCTGCAACTGCACGAATATCACACACCAGTAGGGAACATGTGGCCAGGTGTGAGACTCTGCCTTCGCTTCCTGCTGGTCCTGGGGGAGATCCTATCGACTCTGAAGAACAAGGATGGGTTCAAATCTTGTCTAAGGCATTCAACTACTGTGTGATGGGGGTTGGGGGGTGTGGGGAGACAGCTCGGCTGAACTGGAAAAGCATTTGCTGCACAACAGCCTGAGCTTTATCTCCAGAAACCATATTTAAAAAAAAGTTGGGTGGGATGACTCATGCTAATGAGCCCTGCCAACATTGGGAAGGCGGAGACAGACAGATGCCTGAACTCAGTGGCCAGCTAGTCTAACCTACCTGATGAGCACCAGGCCAGTGAAAGAGCCTGCCCAGAATTGTCACAGGAAATTTCCTTTAGCCATGCCGACATAAATCATGTACTATGGAATTATACAGGTACAAGAGGAAGTGGTGAGAAGAAAGCAAACATCACTGAGCAGGTCCTAGGCATGACCAGGTCACGAGTGTAGTCAGCTACTAATAGGGACCAGGCAGTCTATGCAGTGAGCTGGCGGGGGTTGGGGGATCCATGAAGGGATCACCCAGAGCAGATATGCAATCAGCTACAAGTGACTCCTGTCATGATGGAACAGAGGCCCACTGCTGTCAGATCTGATTTTCACCAGAAAAATGAGCTGTAATTTATTGCTTTTTAAATTCCACAACTAAAAACCTTCCACAGCCAACTTAGACAGCTGACAAGAAGTGGGAACAAACCAAGCATTTAAATGGGCTTCATAAACCACATCACTGGGTAAGCAAAGAGGGAATGGAAAGTTTTTCTCTATAGACATACAAGGTAAGCACCAGCTGTGGTGCAAGCTTGGAATCTCACACTTTGCAGGGGCGCTGTTGAGTTTTAGGCCAGCCTAAAACTCAAAAAACAAAAAACAAAAAAAACAAAAACAAGAGGGAGGGGGTGCAGGGAGGAGAGAGGAAAAGAGATATTTCAGCCACGGAATGAGAAAGGAGTTACATAATCAGAACGACACCACTTTACCACCCATAATTAATTACTAGACTTAGGCAACCGACAGCAACTGCTTCAAACCCAGCAGAGACAATATTGGAAACGTCTGACTGAAGGCCAGGACATGACAGCACCTGGGTAGCCAGGCCGAGAAACAGAATCTGATCAACTGGATGCAGTAAACTAAATATCTGCAGGAAATGGAAGAGAGGAGGATGCTAAACACACCAAAGGAATATGAATAGAAAACTTCTAGAAAAGGGACAATATTCTCGGGACAAGCTAGTTTCTTCCACACACAGGGTGGAAAACTCTAGCATAAAAAAGGAGGAACAGGACAAGCAAGATGGCTCAGCAGGTAAACACACCAAGCCTGATAATTGCAGGGACCCATATGGTAGGAGACAAATGACTCTGAAAGCTGTCCCCTGACCTCCACACGTGCACTCATGCATGCACACACCCTCACACACATGCTGCATAGTCGTTTTTTAAGATTGAAGAAAACAAAAAAGACAAAATTATCACGCGTGAGACTGATAGAAATTTGAACATTAACTTTTGAGATCTGTTAAATCTTTAGGGGATATTGTACTCACGTATTTTAAAATTTGTTTTAGAGACACTAAAACATATTAGAAAAATGCTATGGTGCCTGGAGCTGCTTTAACATAATCTGTAGGAAGAGTGGATGGGGGGGCAGAGGCCATCATCAGCTGATGGTTACTGGAACTCATTACATTACTCTTTTGCTTCTTGTGGTACTGAGGAGGGAACACAAGGCCTTACACAGCGAGTTAAATGAACTACCAGCAAACACATTCCCAGTCCTGTTATTCTGAGGCAATCTCTTAAGAAGATGCCTAGGCTGATCTCATCCTTAGCTCAGACAGGACTTGAACTTGTGAACCTCTTGTTTCGGTTTCCCTAGTAGCTGAGATTACAGGCTTTCACCTGCACCCTTATGTGTATTTAAAACTTACAATAAGAAGTTTGGGGGTGTGTGTGGGGGGTGTGAATGTTCCTCCGGGCTGCCGCTCTGCAGTCTCCGTGTGAACTTTTGTTCAGTGCTGTAAAGCCATAACGACCAATATTTTTATGTTTCCCGATATGGAAAGGGAGGAGGATGGAGGTTAAGTGATTGTTGTATATTTTCTGCAGCCCCAATTATTTGTTTTGTGGTCCTGTTTTAGGACACAGGGTCTTACTCTGTAGTCAGGCCAGCCAGTCTGTCTTCAAACTTGTCCTTAAGTCTCTGGGATTATAGACAGATATGAGCTGCCTGAGCTGCCACTCAAGTCTCTCTGTCTCTCTCTCTCTCAATCTCTCTCTCTCTCTCCCCCTCCTTCCTCCTCCTTCCTTCCTTTCTTCCTTCCTTCCTCCTCCTCCTTCCTTCCTTCCTTCCTTCCTTCCTTCCTTCCTTCCTTTCTTTCTTTCTTTCTTTCTTTCTTTCTTTCTTTCTTTCTTTCTTTCTTTCTTTCTTTCTTTCTTTCTTTCTTTCTTTCTTTCTTTCTTTCTTGTTTTTTTGGAGTCAGGGTTTCTCTGTGTAGCCCTGGCTGTATTGGAACTCACTCTGTAGACCAGACTGGCCTCGAACTCACAGAGAACAGCCTGCCCCTGCCTCTGCCTCCTGAATGCTGGGGTTAAAGGTGTGCAACCACCACACACTCAGCTTTAAAGCCAAACTTCCAATCACTTCACAAACCCTTCTTCTCCCTTCTTCAATAAGCTCATCGGTGAAATGTCCCACAATCTGAATAAATCAGCTTGGCAATGGACTACAGCAGAGCTAGGTGCAGAGAGATGTGCTACTGAAGAGTCACCATTCACTGTGCCCTGTATCATGCCATACCAGCAACTGGGACTGTGTGGGTGCTCCCAACATAAAGACTATAGCTTCCAATATCCTTGTTAGCTTTTCGTTTTCCAGGTGAAAACACTGGAGCTAAGAAGTTACATAACTCGCTAGACTATAAAGTCCGACTCAGCACTGTGCAAGCTGTCCATTTCACTACTGAAATAATCAACTTCAATATAAACTAAAAAAAAGTCGCATAGGAGCCATCCTGTCCATGCTCAGTAACTCACAGTAGAAGTGGTCCACATCCAAGATTAAACACACTTACGACTGCGGATTACCTATTGCCTGAGAGTGACAGCAACAGGAATAAAGAGATGTCAACATCACTGAGTACAGGTAGTGGTGGAACCTCAAAAGAAGGACCTAGAAGTTGACAGAGAGAAGGTTCGTGACCTGCAACCCAGAGGTGGAGGTAAAGTGAAATGAACTAAGCTTCTAGACCTCCTTCCTCGCGCCTAGTCACCCCATTAATCTTCATACCTCATCCATCTCCAGCAACTCCATCAAGTGTCAGGTGACATGCTGGGTGTCATGGAGTTGCAACAATGAGCAAGATGACCATCTGCTGGCCAAAACTTTTAGAACTTGGCAAACAGGACAGGACAGGTGACATGGCTGAGCAGGTAAAGTAGCTTGCCATCCAGTCTGATGACCTCAGTTAGATCCCTGGGCTCCGCATGGTAGGAAAGAGAAAATGACTCCAGCAAGCTGTCCTCTGACCTCCACACATGCACCCTGGCACGCATGACTATCTTTAAAAAAATAACAATAAACTCAGTAGTGCTAGCAAGCCTGGGGACAGAACAGGGCCGGTCTGCTGAGAACCCCGCCTTGAAAGAATTACCTCTTTAGAGGTTAAAGATCAGCAAAGCCCCACCACAGCGAGGTAGGGGTGAGAAATGGGAGGGTGTTATCACACACCGGGCAAGAAAGTGACACCAATAATGCAACACAGGAGCTTCCAAATCCTAAGTGAGATCATAAATCCCAACCCTGACCTGTGGCCCAGATGCCAAGTGAGGCCCTGCAGTGGGGTAGAAGGCAACTCCAGTCAGTCTCTTTGGAAAGCCATTCGACCTCTGGGCCTGATTGTCCTGCCTGTTGACCTATTGGTATCGTCCCAAAGATCCCCTCAACTAATATCATTAAGAGTTATCGCGCTGCCCACCATCACTCCTTGTGCTAACTCACAACCCGCATGGCTCCCGCGGTTTATAAACCCGATCAACATAGCCACCTCCAGCCTTCGGGTGAACTGGAAGGGTTTTCTCTCATCCCCCTAACTGGTGCCTCATACAGATCCTGCCTCCCTCTTGGCAGCACGCCTCGATCAGCACTCGCCAGCTCCCACTCTGCCCCACGTGTTGGAGAGACTTCCTTACCCCTAGTTATTAATCATTAAAAATAAAAAAGTTCTACCGCCTTGTGTATGGAAGTTATCCCTGACTCAGGACAATGCGCTCCCGACTCGGAGGGCGTCCGGGCCACAAAGCTTTTCATCACTCAGGCCTGTGATCCGGGCTTCAGTCGTGGGGATCGCCCTACTATTCACGATTTTCAGCTAACAGCCCCTGGGTTCCCTAACACGACCCCTTAGCCTGGGTTCCATCAAGAACCCCAACCGCACCTCAGCCTCCTCCTCCGACTGGGATCCTCCCCTAAGCACCGCGCCACAGCCTGAGACCCCACGAGGGTCTCTGCAGGCCAGGGCTCACTGCCCAGCTCCGGGGCGGGAAAGGAGCTTCCGGCTCTCCGACCGCCCTGACCTTGCAGGTCCTCGGGATCCGCCGCCGAGCGTGGAGCGGACACTCACCTGGGTCCCCTTGCCAGCCCCGGGCGGCCCCAGCAACACCGCCCGGATACCCTTCCGACTCTCGGGTTCGGGAGCCAGCGCGTTGGGAGCCATGTCTGCCAAAGTCTCACTCCGCCAGCCGCCAGCACACCTCACCGGTGGCTCTAGCGCTTCCAGGCCAGAGCACAGACTATTCCGGGCTCGCACTGGCCGCTCGCCGTGTCCGTCAGCCCTCTACGCCCGCCCCCGAGACTGACTGATGCTTGTATATACCAATAGTACGACGAACATGAGGATTCCAGTTTCTGATTGGACAGAATAGTTGAGGGAGCGAGGAAGAGGCGGGCCAGCCTTGGAATGAGAGGCAGAGAGCGCGGGCGGCTCTCGGCTGGTGGCTGGTGTGTGGAGTGGGCGGGAAGAAAGGAAGCCCCGAGCTGCAGCAAAGTTCCAGTTTGGCGTTTGACAGTTAATGACTCCAGAGGCTCTGAGCCCTGTGAAATTGCCTGTGGGAGTGTAAGTGGGGAAAATCACTCTTAGAAAACAAATTGGCAATAATGCATCTCATACCCTTTGGGCCAGTAATTCCACTTCCAGGAATTGAAAGGACCTAACCCAGGAGTGTGTAATGACTTTCTAACAAAGATGTTGATCGCCTTATTATAACATCCCCAGAGCTCAACACTGAAAAGTAAATAGCTCAAATGTCCAACATTAAGATTGGTTAAATAGCCGGGCGGGCGTTGGTGGCGCACGCCTTTAATCCCAGCACTCGGGAGGCAGAGGCAGGCAGATCTCTGTGAGTTCGAGACCAGCCTGGACTACCAAGCGAGTTCCAGGACAACTTCCAAAGCCACAGAGAAACCCTGTCTCGAAAAACCAAAAAAAAAAAAAAAATTGGTTAAATAGTCGGGCGTTGGTGGCGCATGCCTTTAATTCCCAGCACTCGGCTCGGGAGGCAGAGGCAGGAGGATCTCTATGAGTTCGAGGCCAGCCTGGTCTACCGAGCAAGTTCCAGGACAGGCTCCAAAACAATACAGAGAAACCCTTTCTCAAAAAGAAAACAATTGGTTAAATAAATTCCAACGATTTTGTATTCTGGGACCCCCACCCCCACCCCAACACACATACACCTTGAACAGCACTGTTTAATCATAAGGACAAATGCCCACCCATACAAAATTGCAGCAGTTACAAGAAAGCCTAGTTTCATTTGACCCTTTCAAGTGCAGACTTCTGGAGTGTGGTTAGGGGAACATCTCCCCTAAAAGCTGTCCCTGTAAAAAAGTGTACAATGAGTTCTACAATAACCTGGTGTGTAGACTTTGATCTGGGAGGATCACAGCTTGTCTAGGCTACAAGGTGAATTTAATGAGACCTTGTCTCAAAGTGAGAAGGAAGAGGGCTGGAACCCGTAGTACATCGAGTAGGGTTTCTGGGCTCACTCCCCAGGACTGCAGACAAAATAAAACACACATATATATGCATACACAATCTCCCTGACTGAAGTCAGGAAAAAAGAGGGTTTGTTTTTGTTTTTGTTTTTTCCGAGACAGGGTTTCTCTGTGGCTTTGGAGGCTGTCCTGGAACTCACTTTGTAGACCAGGCTGGCCTCGAACTCACAGAGATCCGCCTGCCTCTGCCTCCCAAGTGCTGGGATTAAAGGCGTGCGCCACCAATGCCCGGCGAAAAAAGAGTTTTTATCCAGAGAGATGAGTCTGTTTTTGACAAGGAAATGATGTCTCCAGCTTTTTGGTGTGTCAAAGTTTCATCCTGTCCCAAAGGACCCTTTCTCAATCTTTCATGCAAATGTGATTAGGAAACCATTGCTTCCCCACAGGCATATAGCAACACTTTTCTATATCCTAGTGGCAAATTTGCTGCCTCTTCAAGCCACTTTAATTCCTGGACCGCAACAGGCTGGCTAGATAGCTCAGCTAATAAAGACATTTGCCACCAAAGCCTAAGAACCAGCTTTTGAGTCCAAAGACCTAAAAATGAAAGGAGAAAACCAACTCTCATAAGTTGTCCTCTGACTTCCACATGTGTGCTGTGGCACATGTAAGTCTTCCTGTGCACACATGCACACATATACACAAAATATAGTAAACTAATAAATCTAAAGAAAAAGAAGCTTGGCAGTGGTGGCCCATTTTTTTTTTCATTTTTCAAGACAGGGTTTCTCTGTATTTCCCAAGTGCTGGGATTAAAAGCGTGCACCACCAACACCTGACTTGGTAGCCCAGCATTCAGGAGGCAGAGGCAGATGGATCTCTGTGAGTTTGAGGCCAGCCCTGCTACAAAGCCAGTTCCAGGACAGCCAGCACTACAGAGAGAAACCCTGTCTCAATCACCACCACCACCACCCCCCAAAAAAGAAGAAAAGAAAAACAGAGATTCTGACATTCATTCTTCTTGCCCATCTTGGGCTTTCATGAGAGTCTGCTTGATCTTGTTGGATTCTCTCAGTGGCCCTGAAGGAAGCAGTGGTTATTGAGTCATTTTGAAGAGAGGAAGATGAAATCTGGAGACAGGTAGTGTCAGCTCAAAGTTACATAGTCACAGGATTACAAGTAAGACTATGAAACAGGGATGTGGCAATAGCCAGTCAATAATGCCCACCACTCAAGCATGAGGACCTGAGTTCAGATCCCCAGCATTTGTCTGTAATCCCAGGGCTGAGGAGGTAGAAATAGACAGATTCTTAGAGCTCACTGGCCAGAAGGCCTAGCCTAATCAGTGGGCTCCAGATTCAGTGGACCACCTTGTCTCAAACGATAAGGTGGAAGGCCTGGAGAGATGACTCAGGGCTTAAGAACACATGTTGCTTTTGCAGAGGACCCGGGTTTGGCTCCCAACACCCACATGGTAACTCACAGCCATCTGTACCTCCAGTTCATAGGATCTGATGTCCTTCTCTGATTTCCAAAGGCACCAGGCACACACACAGTGCAAACATACACACATGCAGATAAAACGCTCACACTTATAAAGCAAAACAAACAAATCAAAACCCAAAAGGTGGAGAGAAATAGAGGACGACAGTTAATGTCAACCTCTTCTCCCCACCAATATGCATACACACATGTATGTTCAGACAGGCAGGCAGACAGGCAGGCAGGCAGACAGACAGACAGACAGACACAGACACAGACACACACACACACGGTCAGGGGTTAAGACTGGAAGCCATTGTGCTGATGCATACCTGTGGTTCTAGCATTTGGGAAGTGGAGGCAGAAATTCACAGCCATTTTGAGCCACATAGCAAGTTGTAGGCCAGCCTGGCCTACATGAAACCCTATCTCAAAAACCACAACAACAACAGAACAAGCAAGCAAACAAAAGGCTGGGGGTAACCAGGAGGTAACCCAGAAGGCACAGGCTTGTGGGAGCAGGCACATTTTCTCTGGGGGAAGCTTCTGTGTAGCCAGAATTCCTTTTCATCATTCCCTTTCACTGGTGATGATGAATCCCTGTTATAATTCTGACCAGGAATGGGCTCCCTTAACCCCAGTAGGGAAAGCAGCTAAGACTACATGTAAATAATACAAAATGTAAGGTTTGTTTGTTTGTTTAGTTTTCTTGAGACAGGGTTTCCTGACTTTCCTGGAACTTGCTTTGTAGACCAGATTAGACTTGAACTCAGAGATCTGCCTGCCTCTGCCTCCTGAGTGCTGGGATTAAAGACATGTGCCACCATGCTTGACTGTTTATTTTTTCTTTCACTAACTTACCTATCTATGTATCTATCTATGTACCTATGTATGTATGTATGCATCTATACCTATGTATGTATGTATGCATCTATCTATCTATCTATCTATCTATCTATCTATCTATCTATCTAGGGACTAGGTCCAGGTTGGCTTTTAACTGGCTATATAGTAAAGATTGACCTTGAACTCTTGATGCTCCTGACTTTACCTCTAGAATGCTGGGGCTACTGACTTGTATTGTCATGTCTGGCTTTATGCAGTTCTGGGGTTTGAACCCAGGGTTTCAGGCATGCTAAGCAAGCATTCTATCAATTGAATGATATCCCCAGCTTTATTATAAAAAATCTAGTCTTTGAGGCATAATAAGAACCATAAGAAAAAGCCCAAGAGAAGAAAGCAGTATCTTTATTCATGAGTTACCCAACTATTAATTTTTAACACTAACGGCTATTACTGTGGGCCAATCAGTAGGCTAAGCGATTTGTGTCCGTTATCTCATCCAGTTCTCACAGCCACCCATGCACGCAGTAGCTACTTTATTATCAGCATATTTTTATTTTTTTTGGTTTTTCGAGACAGGGTTTCTCTGTATTGTTTTGGAGGCTGTCCTGGAACTCACTCGGTAGACCAGGCTGGTCTTGAACTCACAGAGATCTGCCTGCCTCTGCCTCCCGAGTGCTGGGACTAAAGGCGTGCACCACCAACGCCCGGCTTTATCAGCATATTTTAGATGGAACAAACTAAGACACAGGAAAACTAAGCACCATACCACGCCCAGGGTCACATGACTTAACCTGTGACTGAGCAGAGAGTTGAGCTAAGGTCTGTCTGTTTGGCACTCACAGTTCAGCTGGTTCCAGCTAGAGTGATAATGACGGTCTGGGAAACAGAAAGACCTTGAAGAAAGAAGAAGGCTTGGCTTTGGGGTAGGAGACATTTCAGATCTTGAGAAGATTGGGAGGAAAGACCCAGGAGCAGGAGAGACTACTATTCAGTGAGCTTTGGAGAACTGGACTTTCTAGGGGCAATAATAATCAGGTTCATGTTAAAGATCGCTTGCAAGACTAGAGTGGAGAGAGCGTAGGCAGAAATAATAGCTTTAATGCTGATTAGTTTTTGTCAGCGTGACACAAACTAGAGTCATCTTACAGCAGGCCCCCAGACCTTAGCATAACTGACTCCATGATGGAAGTACCATTCAGGCCATAAAAGTCAGCACATAGACAGCACCACCAGTCAAAATTTAAAGACAGACCTAATCCCTCACATGATGGGAATATGATATAGAAATGTATACTTTGCACTGGGATAGATTTTGGTTTAATGATGCAAATTAAGGTCAATTTTGTTACATGTATATTTCTATTCTTGTTTAGATATTGTGTTTATACAGCTCTTTAAAAAATGTAATATATAATTAAATACAGATTATAGATGGTCACCTGTAATAGTCAAAACTTATGTTAGTTAAGTTTTCCAGATATACAG